AGTGCACACGTAACAATGAAAGTCGTTTCGCTTCTGAACCTTGCGACAAAAAATCCTTAAGTTGTGCTCATCCAGTGGACGTGTCGCCCTCGATCGATGCGGCTCTCCCTGGCGTTTCGCCCATGCGACTCTCCCTGCGGTTGAAACACTCGTGGTAGTCCAACACATCATGCATGACGTCGCAGTAGAGGATCGGGACCTTCTGGGCGGATGGGGCAGGTAGTGACCTCCTGTTTCCCAAGGACAGGGGTTAGTTACCGTAGTTGCAGGCACAGGTATGCACAGCATTTCGGTTGGCAAAGAGTTTTCTGCGCAAAAGCAAAGAAATCACATGAACAGCACTGCCTTGACGTCAGGTGCATAAGGCTTCGCAGAAATCCGCTGGGCTGTGATCTTGATGTCCTGCAAATCAGTCCCAGCTATGAGGATTCAGAATTAGAAGAGAAGTCTTCGGCGCCGCAAAGTCTCAGCGTTTAACGCCGCGACCGTCTCCTGGCTCTTCAATTGGCCCGACTTCCTCAGCGTTTCGGTGTCAAAGTGAGGGGTGATGGGCCGAAATTCATAACGGAAAGGGACACCCAGGGACCCGGAGTCACATTGATGCTCGAGCGACCTCTCTCATTAGCCGCTATACATTGTAGTTTGGTACATGCAGCCTCGATAACACAAAGCCAATGCATGCCAATTGCATCTGCAAAGTTGCAATACCGGTTCGTCGTGATGTGTCTGCCAAATCCACGACCCAATTCCGCATTTGTCTGCCCTTCCCCCGACTGGACTACCACAACGTACACCCCCAAAAAGCAGCACCATGAAAAGGTCGATGCATCAGCACCTTAAAAACAGCTGCATACAAAAGGAAGAGGTGCGGCAGCTGAACCGACAGTGTGGTTAACTGTGACATGTCTCGCTGGCTACATGAAAAGGAGGGCTTGACTATTTTGACTGATCCCCTGTGCCGAGGGGTCCATTTCCATTGGTTTCGGACCACTCAGCCGTCAGGTCATACATCTGATTCATCAGACGTCGGTTTCCCAACCGTTCCCCCCAAAGCGGACAAAAAGAACACTTTACTTCGAGATACTTCGAGTGATCCCCACCCTGAAAGGCGACTTGTGCGGCTTGACATGATGTTCTGACGCTTGCTCTGGCATCCTCTGTCACATCATCTATCATAGAGGCTGCGAAACGTTCTTGACTGTGTTCTGACATCTTTGTTGGTGTGTTCTGACATGTTTCCTGTCTGACATGTGCTGTGACATGTGGACCGACTTCAGTCCTGGTATGTGTTCTGACATGTACTCCGGCATTTGTTCTGCCATCAAAGATAACCTGGCATTCTATCTGGCATAAAATCAGACATTCTATCTGGCATATACTCTGAGTTCTATCTGGCAAAGTTGCTGGCATTGATCTGCCATAAGGCCATAACTGCTTGCATGTTATCTGGCATCATTGCCGGCACTCTATCTGGCATATACTCTGGCACTCTACTTGGCACATGGTCTGGCGTTCTATCTTACATTCTGACATTCTATCTGGCATACATACTTACCATGTATTCTGCCATTCTTTTTTGGCAAGTATTACTGCCATCTGGCGCTTGCTGTTGAAGTCCGGTAGTGCCCACTGCGATCCGGCACTTGCAGTTGAGGTCGGGCAGCGCCCACTGTGATCTGGCGCTTGCTGTTGAGGTATAGCCCATTGCGATCTGGAATCTGGAGCTGGTGGTTGAGGTGCGGCAGTAAAAGCGACGAGGAGAGAAGAGAAGAAGAGAAGAAGAGGAGAGGAGAAGAAGAGGAGAAGAGGAGGAGAAGAGCTCCGATGAAAATCTAACAACCCTCTGGCAGGTGGGGAACAAGTGCCGTCTTGGAAAGACACCGCCGCAAAAAGGAAAACAAGAAACCCCCAAAAAATCAATTAAATATATATATATATATACCTAGAGCCTGAGTGACCTCTATTTTGGAGGATCAACTATCCAACATATGGTCTTTTCCAAAAAAAACAGATCACTCAGGCTCTATATACAATATTTGCCGATCAGTTGGGGTGGTTTGGAGGGTCAACTGATCGGCAGTCCCATGGAATCTCTGGGAAAAACAAGTCAGTCGAGGGTCTCGTAGGAGGCCTGCTTCTCGGCAAAAGCTTTGTTCAGCAGCTTCACGTTGCCCAGGCCGAACCTCGGTTCACGACAGGAGCAACAGTGGCCCGTGCGTGAAGTCTCTCAGCGGCTTCCACTGGAGTTGAAACATGGTGGAGAACAGGATGGTTGAATTCGAAGCTTGAAATGAAAATAATTCTGGTTTCCGCAAACCCTTCTGGACCAAAGCAAGTGAGAGAATTTCCCATCCGCTCGAGATTGCTTGAATTGTAGGATTCCCGGCCATTTTCCGCTGTATTTGGAGACACTATACCCTAGCCTTCCAAGACCGTCAAAAAAAAGGTTGACCTGGTGTCGTAGTCTAACGATGTTGTTTGGTAAACACCCATTAAATCAATGGTGGTTGGAATCCTATAGGCTATATAGATGCATGGCTATAGGCTATAGGCATTATCTTCCTTTGATTCGCAAATTGGCAGCACATACGGACCACCTGCTGACTAAGGAGCATATACGGCCGGTTGGACATGATCGTGGGGCCATGGAAGATGTTCGTGGTTGCCCAAGCCACCACGTTCTTGAACTTCTCCTCGGCTTCCGAGCCACCACGTCCGAACGCTGGGAGGGGCCGAGCCGAGCCCTGGTCGACGTTGGTGGGGAAAGGGACATGGGAAAAAAACCTTCAAGAAGACCGAACTCTTGCAAAAAAAGACGGGAAACCCTAAACAATACGCAGTCCTTTAAAGAACAAGTGGGCTTCCAGGCACTTCCTAAAGTAATCATGGAAGCGGAAAATACATGTACCGCCTATAGTTATAAACTCCTGAAGCGGCCGTGAGTGATTCTGGACCTGCCATGCACATCTGGACCTGCGGGAAGGTGGGCCGAACAGGCCCAAAGGGCCCTCGTCCTGCCAGCCCAAACCCTCACAACCACCAAGCGCTCTGCTGAGAAAGCGGCAGGGTGAAGGGTGTTGGCCTTCATGAACGCCACTCCCGAGACGCAGAAGGGCAACAAGCAAACCTGGAATGATCCTATCTTTCTCAAGCACATGGTTCGCCAAGAATAGAAACACGGGAGATGTTCAGTGGATTGGTTCTACCGATCGCTTGATGAGTGGGAGTTCAGGGTCATGATCTTTTATTCGCCTGCTTTGAATGCTCCAGAGAGAGGTTCTTTAACAAATTCAAGGAGCTCTTCATAGACCAACATCAAGCCAACAGTTCTCTCGTGTTTTGCAGCTCCCGTGCCTTGCAGGTCTTCAGCACTGGGTGGCTGTTCACGTAGTTCATCACACCAACAGCATCCATATATTCCTCGAGGCCATGAGCCCGCTACGGCCACTTAGGCACCATCGCTTTCAACGACTACATACGGTGGGACCCTGGTTGACCATGCAAAATGAACAAAATAGACTACTTAAGGAGGTCCACCTACCAGAGTGAAACGGGCTCCTGGCTATGACCCACAGCCATGGCCATATAGGCAAAGCTATACCTGGGGAGGACCAGTGCGCTGACCTGTCTGTTGTGCAGTACTCTTTTTGTAGAAGTTTGTTGATTGGTTGGGGTTGCACTGTGCTGGCACTTCGCCGCAACCCATGAGTATAGGGGAATGGGGAATTGCACATTCTAGCTGAGGTTGGAACCTGAAAGCCTTTCGTCTGCAAAGAACAAGGTCTAGTTTCCAGCGGTTTCTCCATGAATCGTCTCCTCCATTCTTGCACAAAACAAAAAAAGCAAACATGAGCAAACCTTCCCTCCAAATCATATCCAGACCATACATGTACGGAATAGTTATACCCTACATTAGGGTCATAAATGGTGTACTGTAAATGTGTGTCACTATTCAACTAGCCCCACGTACGGTCTGGGATAAGACTAAAAACGGCACCCAAGTTGTCCAAAGTCGGAACCATTGTTCGGGGAATTCACCTGGCAAAGTCTTGTTGCTAGCTGCTAGTCGATGGACACCGATGGCCTTGACTCACTCCTGGATGGGGAGTCCTTTCAGCGGTGAGTCTGTTCCCTAGCCTTCCACCTAGACCATTTTATACATAGTGTTCGTTCTTGTGACCTGGCTTTGGTCGTGTAACATCAGCAATAATGGTTGTTGGATGGTTGTTAGTTTAGGGTTCAGGGCTTTGTGGTTCTTTTCTCGCTTCAAAAACACCGGCGACCGGGTCGCCCGTTTCACTCTACTGGTTCCCGGGCGAACGGTCCGGGTCTGGTTGGAAGGCATGTGCTTTGAGGTCGAAGTGAAACTCTGGAGAACAGCAACAGCATGCAACAGCCATACCAATCCCAGAGTTCTCAATCCGCGGTATTCGTTCTGGCTTGGAGAACAGGAATTCTTCTCAAAGCCAGGGCCATCGAGAATCCCCAGGTCCCTCCGCCTTGAGGCACCTCCCCTGCAGTGCCAAAGGGTCAATTTCTCCAAAGCCGCTGGGGAGCTTCTTCTCGGACTCTCCGTGGTTGCGCAGGTCGTATGCGAGGACGTGGAAGCCAGCATCATGCAGCACCTGCTGCGAAACCAGAGCTCCTTCCGCCAAGGTAGTGAGTCGGTGGGGTCATTAAAGTGAGGCCTGGCGCCCGGAAAACGGGCGATTCCGAAGTTTTGTACATCGCCGCTGGTTCGCGAAGCAGCAGAGGCCACAAGGTCCGCCCCCAAACCCAACGCCAGCCACTCCCTGCGGTTCCAACTCACCTTCTGAAGCTTCACGTAGTCGATGGCCTCTACGGTGACCCAGCCATGCCTCATAAACCAGACCGAAGTGAACTGGACGAGGGGCAACTCGAAGAAGTGCAGGGCAATTGTTGCTTTTCTGGAATGCGAAGAATAGAAAACAGACATTCTTCCCTAGAAGGAGGATATGAAGGGGATGGATTCCCTCAGCTACCTTGAGCCAAGCAAAGCTTCATGGAAGTGAGACCCCAGGACAAGCACTTGAGAGGATACAAATCCCTCAGTCGAACTGGTTGTCGTTCCCCAAGTCTGCGATGCAAGCAGTTGATCAGTGGATCGCAAGCTTTGGTTGATCTCTCTTCCATCCTCCACATCTTGAGCATCCTGAGACGTGGGTTGCTGTCCATGTGAAGTGGTCCTTTCAAAGGGAAGCACGACATGGCGATGACCATCGCTCTCTCGACCTGTCACCCCTACTAGCGAATCGATCTCTCGGTGTCGTCGATCGACCTACGGACCACCTGGCCATGTTCCAAGAGCCGGAAGAGGTCAAGCGCGTCGAAAGGAGTGTGAACCAAAACATGAAGCTTTGATGCTTGGAACATGGAACATCAATAGGTGTGGTTCCCCAAACTCGTTTTTGGGAGGGAATGGTTATGAATGGTTCCTTGATGTTACGACAGGTCTTCAAAACTGGTTTGGAGAAGCAACGCCACGAACTGGATTGAGAATCCTTGAAGCCCGCTAGTAGTAACAGGTGCCTTACTAGTAGTAACAAGAAGCTACTAGGGCTCCTGGCCTTACTACTAGGAGCAAGGACGCTAGTAGTAACAAGTGCCACGCTAGTAGTAACAGGTGCTCCCGGACGTGTCCAGGCAGAATCCCGCACAGACTTCGGCAGCACGGACGACGTTCGATGGCCCTCCCGCGTTTCGCCTCTGGTGCGTCTCGCAGCCGGATTTGTTGGCACAAGCCCAGGACCTGAAGGACTCAACGAGAAATCTTGGCTCGTTTGGGGCTCCAGTTGTAGCTTCGGTTCGGTATGACCCTGGCACCCGGGCCTCCAGTCCCACCGAACCGAAGCTACCACTGGAGTCCTATATATAGGGTGGGTGAACGACCGGTGAAAGTCATGGCGACCGACACCCCGACCAAACGGTGGATCCCAGCGATAGCTCGTGAACCGCGAACTGCGAAGCAGCGACGTATTTGACCCCCAATATATAGACGAACTCGTCCGTCCCAAAAAATATCGCCTGCCTGGTATGCTGAGGAAGGGTTTTGGGATGTCTTGGGCGACTGATGGCGACTGGTTGGTGGGATACTGTGAAATTCCAAAGCTTCTCCACATGCCCAGTCTTTGCATGAGGAATCCCTGCGCACTAAGGGCGCACTGACGCAACACCCAAACGTACCCAAGTCCCTGCACAAACCAGAAAACAAAGGCTGCACCATCTACATCCAAAAAAGAGACATGCCCGCCTGGGTCCTCCACCATCTTGCACTCTTTGTTCATCAAAGCTGGAACAAATCAGCGCTGTCAAAATGGATCGGATTTATATTCTCCCTGGAACTCACATGGAAGTGGAAAACTCTGTGTGTAGCGGAAAGGGATCTTCCATGGAGCCATGTCTAGTTGCTAGTTCCAGGCTAGAGTATCAATCCGAGGACCCCCAAAAGAAACTCTTAGGTTCTCCACACCAACTGTGCCAAGTGTCTGATGGCCCACAATCGCCAGCTTCTTCGAGCTTTTGTCCTGCCATCTTCACATCGATCCAAACGTACCAAGGATCTGTTTGCTTCAGCGAGGTGCCATCGCCTCACCATGAGGAGCCCTTCACCATCCTGAAAACCTTATACTGAAGATGGCGGCATGCATTGATATGTTGTGTTTTTTTGAATTCATGACACTTTGTCAACAATAAGACAACAAGTGTATCTTCCCAAAGAAGCGCATCTACTAGAAAATGGTATACAGTCTCGTTATGATTGTGAATTTTTGTGAGTGCATATTTTCCCTTCGTATATACACCGTTTCTCACCACGAGTGATCGTGAGGGCGTTTCTCTTTTGTACGCACACGCATTCGCGGCCGCTACATCTCCTGCGCCAAAGTCTTCTACACATCAAAGTCCCCTTTTCATATTGGTTCTCTCCTTGGAACAGTGTTAAGAAGCTGAAGACAATTATTTTCTTGTGTTCTTGTTTCAAACAGTTCATTCCCCCATTCTCTGCCAATAATGGCATGATTAGTTTTTGCTGCATCGTCCAAACGCGTTGTGCCTCTATGAGCTAGTTTCTTCTCTTGACTGTGTTGTTCGTGTTGTTTTCCTTGAGTGCCCTCTTATTCATGAGAGCATGTCTGCTCCGAAGCTGGTTTCTTGCTCGTGAGCGTATCACTTGCCTTGAGCGCGATTCTAGTGGTGAGTGCGTGCATGGGTGCGTGGGTGCGTGCCAGCACGTTTCTTGTCCAGTCTGTGTTGTTTTTTTGTGGGTGTGGGTGCAATGCCTGCCCTCCTAACCTTTGTTGAACATAAACACAAGTTGTAAAGTTCACGCTGTGCACTTGTGTTTCGGCAGTTCGAACTGTTTTCGACCTTTACTTACCATCGTTCCCTCTCAAGACTGGGAGGGCAGTTGCCTTGCAAAAGGTGCGGCCGCGGCGCTTCAGTGCGCCCTCTTGTTTTCGTGTTTGCGGACTTCGGGTGCCGCTGCTACCTTTTTCGCATTGGTAGCGGAGCCTCCTCCGGGGGGCTCCGAGTCCTTTGCGCGAAGAAGAACGAGGTTCTGCATAAGTCCTTTGTCACGAACCCTTGGCCGAGCTCTTTTGTTTCCTCGTTGAAGAGCCCTTTCGGTCTTGGCTACTTGTTTGAGAATGCCACCAACGACATCGGCTGCAGAAGGTTCCAAGGATGGTGACTACCTCAACCTGCGCGACTCCTTCGTTCCACTGTTCAGTGGACAACCCCAGGACTACAAAGAGTACAGAAAGAGGCTGATGCTCTACCACCACAAGATGAAGATCAGCAAGCGCTCAGCCGAGTCCGTCCTGAACATCCTGGGAAGTTTTCAGGGTGTGACGTGGCGGTTGTTCGAGGACTTCTCAATTGAAGAGGCTGAGAAAGAGGATGGCTTCAGCAAGATCATCACCAAGCTCGACAAGAACTTCGAGTATGACGATCGTGTGCTCCTTCCGAATGACTTTGAGGAGTACTTCAACTTGTTGCAAAGGAGCCACAGCAAAGCCTCCTGTCCTTCGTCACCGACCATGACACCGCCTATCGTCGTTTGACTGCCCACAATGTGACTCTTCCAGTCCAGGTTCAAGGATGGCATCTACTCCGACGTGCTGCTTTGTCAAAGGAGCAACGCCAAATGGTGACGCTGAAGGCTCCTACGTTGGAAAAGAATCCTGTCATCGAAGCCCTGTACCTGCTGTTCGGTCAGGACTACAAAGCAGGCGGCTGGAATGCTGAACGTGATCGAAAGTTCAACCGCTGGAAGGGCCGCGGCTACGCCGCATTCGATGAAGAAGATGCCTACTGGTCCGAGCAACCCTGGACAGAAGACACCTACTATGAGGCCGACGACTGGTATGATGACACTGCCCCTGACGATGAGGCTGACTTTGACTATGACGCCATCTACTACGGCGAAGAGGATGAACCTGGAGAACACCATGACCTGTCCGAAGATCCTCAAGAGTTGGCCGAAGAGTATGACCACGCCTATGCCACCTACTTGGATGCCCGGCAAAGATTCCAGCAGCTCAAGTTGGCTCGTGGCTACCTGCCGATCGTCGCCCTCACTGATGGCCAGAACGCTTCGCCCGCCTCTGGATCCTCTTCACCTTCGAAGGGCGCCGGCAAGAACAAAGGAAAGGGTAAGAGCAAAAGCAAAGGAAAAGGAAAGAATGTGGTGCGCTATCCACCCTCCTCAGGTGGAAAGGCTGATCCAAAAGGTCGTGCAAAGGCAACTACATGCCTTCGTTGTGGCCAACCAGGTCATTGGGCAGCGCAATGTCCACAAGGTGCGAAATCACCCTCATCGTCCAACAAGAGACCTGCACCCACTGAGGGTATGGCCTTGCAGAATGAGACCGCCTTGGTCCTGTTCCAGGATGAGATGGGCACCGACCGACCGGATGCCACCATGCTTGACCCAGGTGCATCTGCCTTCCTGTGCGGATATGGTCCATTCGGCCGCTATTTGAGCCACTTGCACTCCATGAACTACCCCATCAACACCATCCGCTTTGCTCGATGTGACCGCCAGTTCCATTTTGGTGGCGATGCATCCTCACGAGCTTCATGGACAGTGGATCTCCCGGTGATGATCGATGGCCAGTTCGGCACGATCCAATGCTACCTGGTTCCTGGCAACACGCCAATGTTGATGGGCCGACCTGTGATTGAGGCTCTGCACATGGGCATCGACTTCAGCCAGAAGCGCATTCGCTTTGGGCAATCGCCTTGGACCTCAGCGCTTGTGGGCCGCCATGGCGAGTACTTGTTGAGCCTCACCACTGGCATGGAGGAAGTACCTGATCCCACGAAAACCCTATTCAGCCTTCGCATTGTTGAGGAAACACCTGGCAGCCATCTCCACTTCGAGGACTTTAACAAGCTCGAACATGTGTTTCAGGCTGAAGATGTGGCTCTAGCAGGTGGCGAATTGCAATCCACTCGCCTTCATCGACATGCCCTTCGAACCATGGAGACTCAGTTGGTCACTACCTCAAACTCCACCGAAGCCTATATCACTCAGGAGCTTCACAATCCTCCCGACCATCGACGAGTTCTCTGGGAAATCTACTGTGGCAAAGCTCGCACTGGCCACATCGCAGAGGAGCTTGGCATGAAGGTGGAAAGATTTTCTTTGGACAATGGCTGGGACTTCAACCTCATCAGCCATCAACAACAGCTACTCCAACGACTTGATGAAGAAGAACCTGATGAAGTGCTGGTGGCACCAGAATGCCGCCTGTGGTCAAGAATGCAAACCTTGGCTTGTCGCACCCCTGCACAGTAAGAAGCCTTGAAGGCTCGACGTGAGCACCACCATCGTCGCCATCTCTGCTTTGCCAAGCGCATCTACCTACGACAGGTGACCAATGCACGGCATGCCCACTTGGAGCAGCCCCGACGTGCCTTGAGCTGGAACACGATGGCTCTCCGAGATCTTCCTGGTTACTATGCCGACTTCGACCAATGCCGCTATGGAGCAATGTGCATGGACACCGACGGCATCTGGCGACCTGTCCAAAAGAGCACTCGCCTGTTGACCACAAAGCAGGCTGTTTTAGAGGCCTTCCAGCTGAAGTGTGACCATGACCACTACCACTGCCCCTTGGAAGGCTCTGCTCCTGGCTATGGCCGCCGGACCACCTACTTGGAAGACTACCAACCTGGCTTTGCAGCGACACTGGCTGCTGCCTTGGCTCGTCCTGAGACCGCTCAACTGTGGGACACCGCCTATGTGGTCGATGAAACTGGCAAGAAAGAGACCGGACACCTCCTCAAGCTCAAGTCTGAACACCGACAAGATGCTCTTCGAACGGTGCAACGGCTACACCGAAACCTTGGCCATCCGGCACCTGATGCTCTGGCTGATCTGTTGACCGCCAGAGGAGCTCATCCCACTGTGATCGCCGCTGCCAAGGAGTACAAGTGTGTGGCATGTCTGAAGCACAAGAAGCCCAACCAGGTTGCTCCATCATCCATGCCACAGCCCAAGACCTTCAACGAAGTGATTCAGGCTGACGTTTTCTACCTCAAGCCAGCAGACCGCAAGTTTGCAGTGCTGAGCATAGTTGATGTTGGCACCAAGTTCATGGCAGCCTACCTGCTTCATGAGGAGACCTCCAAGTCTTACATCACCGCTCTGGAAAAGATGTGGGTTCGCCATTTTGGCCCTCCCAAGAAGCTGATCTCCGATGAAGGCCGACCTTGGCTTGGTGCACCGTTTGAATCTTGGACAAGCTCACTTGGCATTGACCATCAAGTAGCACCAGGAGAAGCTCATGAGCGCCTTTCGTTGGTTGAGCGCCGTCATGCAGTGCTGCGCCGTGCCTGTGAGGTCTACATGGATGACCGCAAGCTCAACGACGCTGCTGGCATCAAGGAAGCACTTTGCTATGTGATCCCACAGCAGAACGCCACACCTGCAGTTGCTGGCTTCTCGCCCAGTCAATGGGTTCTTGGCTTCCAACCTGAGCTGTCCCACCTCATGGACTCCAACCTCAATGCAGCTCAACTTGCTGGCAACAACAGCTCATTTGAGGAGAACCTTGAGCGGCGAACTGCTGCAAAGATGGCACTGGCATCTGCTGATGCTGACTCCAAGCTGCGACGAGCTCTCAGTCGCAAGTACCAGGGCCAGAATCGAGTTTTCCAGTTGGGAGAAAGAGTATGGTTTTGGCGTGATGCTCGCCAAGGAGCACTGAACAAGATCAGATGGCTTGGTCCTGCCCACGTGGTTCTTCGTGAAGAAGATGCTGAAGCTGATACTGCAGCTCCAAAGGTCAAGACCTACTGGCTCGCCTACAAAACACAGTTGATTCGTGCTGCGCCTCACCATGTCCGTGCAGACATCCTCGGACCTCAGCACGTGCTCGAAGACCTGCAATCAGCCCTCAACAAAGTGAGACAGCTGAAATCCCGTGGAGTCACTAGATTCTACGACTTGAGACGGGTGAACCGCCAACAGCTGGATGATGTCGAGGAAGATGAACAACACACTGACCCTGATGGTCCT